ATGGTATCTCAGTCCCTGGGCTTTCCAGCTTCTTCCTTTCCCCAGTTCATAATCCCTTCCTCTGGGTCTGATCAGGTTGCCTTCTCTCTAGTCTACACCTTCCAAGGCTCTCTCTGCCTTTCTATGATACGTGGATATGCTTCTGTGTTGGGCTCCTTCCTACGCAATCCCTGCCCACGCAGGAGGCTCATCTCTTGGCATAATTAAACAAGAGGAAAACGGCTGGGAAAGCAGCCAGCTGGAGTCAGAGCAGTGATGTTGGACAGAGGAAAGAAATCAGGGGCAGTCCTGACCTTCTAGGTCCCTGAGCTCATGCTGGGGGAGTACAGAGCCACATGCCCAAGTGCCCTTGGCTGGATGATCACACTTGGTGTCAGACTGAGCCCTCAAAGCTGGTCAATGAAAGCCAGAGATATCCCAGGTCAAGGCCTTGCTTGAGGGCTAATAGAGCCAAAAGAAAGCTATTCAGAGAGCTTCCAAGAATGTCCCCAAATTATTAGCTTCTGGCACTCCTGTGGAACCTGCTGGTGAAGGGAGAAGTCCGAGAGCAACAGGCTGATATTCTGAAGCTATTAATTAGTTAATCTTGTAGAGAATCTGGGTTCAGCTCCCAGAACTCATAGTGTGGCTCATAGCTGCCCCTAACTCCATTTCTAGGGCATCTAAAGTTGGTGTCTCACCTCTAAGGTACCAGGCACATACATACATATACACACATACACAAAATAAAATAATAAAATCCTTCAAAAGTCGAAACAAGTGTTTCCACCAACCAATCAAGACCACAGTTCCCCCCAATATTATCCTTGCACCTCAAGTTCCATTTCTCCCTGGCTATTTCCCCTAGTTTTTCAAAGTAATATAATTCTGAAGCCTGGAAAAGGGTTGTAAGGGGAGGAAGAACCTGGCACCCTCTGCTGGCCAGATTTGATACTGCCAGAAGAGCCCAGAGGCCACAGCTACTTGGGCCTACAGGAGCTAGCTAGACAGCTATAGCCTCAGAACACCCTTGCTGGTTTGGCAAAGTCACTGGTAGAGGGACATGAGTAATAGTTATAGATGACGATCATTGTGGGAAAATCCTTATCTACCAAGTACTGGTGAGAAGTTTACGTTCATAAATAAATTCACATTTTATGTCTCTAGCATTTGCTCTCAATAGCTTGGAAAAATATTGTAGAACAGGCTGAGGGGTTCCCAACTAGTAAGCTCTGCTTCAGAAGCAAACATCAAGTCTGACTGGCTACAATTATATACTCTGTCCCACTGGCTGTATTTCAGTCCAGCTTAACAGGTTCCCTGACTTGAGCACTAATTTTGATTCCAGCTTGACAATCCATCTCTGATTTCATACTCAAGCCAAACTCCCCTGAGCACCAAGCAAGAATCCACCCACTTTGTCTCCTGTTCTTAGAGCCTGCATTAGCTCTTACCTCCGGATGGATGGCACGTCTCCATATGAATCTGATTCCTTCCCAAGCTCGAGAAGTTATTTTCATATGTCTTTCAGGGCTAGCAGCCAAACACAAAGAAATAAAGAAAATAGAAAGAAAGAAGGTGGGAGGGAAGGATGGAGAGAGAGAGAGAGAGAGACAGAGAGAGAGAGAGAGAGAGAGAGAGAGATAGGGAGGAAGGAGGGGGTAGTAGCATGGGCTGATATTTTTTCTTCAGGAGAGTAGCTAACTGGAAAAATAGGAGGGGTGAACACCTTTGATTTCAGCCAGGCTAAGGTATCCTACAGTTGTGGCTCTTGAAGAGAAGATGAATAGGCCCCAAGTATGCTGGAAGGGAGGAGTCCTAAACCTCAAGGCAACCATGATCTTAGTAGGAAAGCCCTTGGCATATTTTGACACTTTGGTACAAATCTAGTAGGTGTGTCAATGCTGGCCCTCTGCCCCATGTCTCCAGTGTAGCAGGTGGTTTATGCCTTTGTGGCTGCATCCTTGAGACCACACTTCATCATCCTGGACAGCCTTGTCTGTGGGCCACAGCTTTGCTTTGCAGGAATGACGTGGTCTCCCCTGGTTACCACAGAGACTGATCAAAAGCAATTTTCTTTGCAAAGGAAGGAGCTCAAATGGCTTTAGCTCCAAACTGAGGTTATCGCTTTCCTTTACAAATAAGTGAAAAAGACAAACCTAGGTCTCCTTTCATGTGACTTAGGAGCCCAGTGATTTGGGGTGTGCTATTTAGCTCCATAGCCTCCCTCAGTTTCTTCATATAAACATGTTGGTAATAATATCCTTCTCATATAGTTGTAGGAATGAACTGCGACAATGTGTGTGGCCCAGAACCTATCATAAAGTAACTCTTCAACAAATCAAATCCAGTTTTTCCAGTTGCTCTATGGGCTCCAGTTTCCTGATATGGAAAGAATGAGCATAACAATAAACTTCCTAGCATTGTTACAAGAACCCAAGAGTAAAACATATGTATAGCAGTCTATCACCAATGCCTCCTTAATGGTGTGAAAAATATTGTACATAACCTTAGTTTTATAAATTTTATTAAAGTGTCTAACCATCTAACTTTTGGAGGATTTGATCTCAGTTGTATTTTGTGGATTCCTGTCTATTTTCTCTTCCCTAACTTAGGGTCTTGCAAATGTCTCTGGCCATCTGGGCAGAGTCTATCGTCTTCTGGCAGGGCTGGCTGGGATGAGCTTGGTTCAAGCTTACACACTTTTGCGGGGTGCATTCTGAGGCTCTCGTGCCTCCGGACACTGTGGTCACTCTCTAGTTTCCAAAAGATTCAACTTTTCTATGTCCTCTGTAAAAGTGGGATCGAAGGTGCTTCCTTCCAAGAGTATATAATAGGCAGAAACTTGGATGTTATTACTTTTGTCTACTGAATATGGGAAAGGGAACTTTACAGGTATAATTAAAATGAATAGTTGGCTAATCTTGAAGGGAAATTGTTCTGCACTATTCAGGCTGACTTGGCCTGGTCTGGGGCCCCATGAAGAAGAGCTTGTTGTGGAACATTTAACTATGTAAAGATGCTTTACATTTGTTTATGCTGTGGAGCCTTTCCTTTGCTTGGTCCTAGAAGTGGTATGTTTGGGTAAAAAGGTGTGTGTGCAGTGTTCTTAAAGGAGGCATGCATCAGAAAACTAAAGAGCTGAGTCCTAAAGTCAGGAGGGGCAAACCCTGCTAATAGCTGGAATGAATCTGGAAGCAGAGTCTTTCCTGAAGCCTGCAGCTAAGAGCCCAGTCCAGCTGACCTCTGAGCAGAGCCTCAATCTGAGTCACACACTGTGAGTTAATAAGTGGTGCTGTTTTAGGCCGTGAAGTTTATGGTAAGATTCTACAGCAAGGGGGAAAAAAACTAACAAAATCTTCAATTCCTGCTTTTTTTTAATTAGTCCTAAGTAATATTCCACCCTCAGGTCCAGTTTTGGTTCTTTCTACTCTAAGCCTGTGTAGACAGATAGGAACATTTGCTTCCAAGTGAATTGCTGGCAAGGTCCTAAGAGAATTGGCTTTCATAAACAAAATGGGGCAGTGGTTTCTGATGATTCCTGGTTTGGACACTGCAATTCAAAGAGCTTTACATTCAGGGGATGCAAACTTTTCAATTATTTCCTATGATTGAGAGGAGGGATGAAACGTGTAGCACTACAAAGACTATGTCAAAAACATTTCTTACCATAAACAGAAATATCTTGCTTGATCCTTCTTACACACTACAGGTTTTTCAGACTATAAGAAGCAACTTATTTTGTGTTTTTACAGGAACTTAAATTTGTGTTCTAATCTACCTCTGCCCAGCACAATCCCAAATTGTGAAAGCATTGGCTTCAACACAGTGATGGGAACTGCTCCACCACTTAGATGACTTATACAGTGACATCACAGCCCTCATCCTAGAAGAATGGAGGCAGGAAAAGATGCACATCTGGCTTTGAAACTTTACTGTCCTGCATCCAGGAGGTTAAAGCTGGTCTGTTATCACTGTGCTTATATTGCTACAGATGAGGATTCTATGGAGTAGCAAGAATCACCCATTCTAACAGAGCCTCCAATGGGGTCAAGTGTGTCCATCACACTGTACTAATAATAAGCTTTCACTTCCTTAAGTCCACCAGGTATGTGATGAAACCATTTGCAACCTACCCACCCATTGTAGTTAAATGTGATTTGAGGGCAGAGATGATAGAAAAAGCTTCAGAGGAACTGGCACTTACCTTCTTCCAGCATTGGGCTCTTATGTTTAGGCTCTCCTCACTTTATTTTCAAAAGTGTGTGTGTGTGTGTGTGTGTGTGTGTGTGTGTGTATGCGAGCGCGCGTATACCTACTATGTACCAGGCAGTTTAGGCTGTGGCAACATAAAAATGAATGAGATAAACCCAGTGCCAGCTTTATGAACCTTTCATTTTATTAATAAAATCACAAAATAATTACATATCTTAGGATGTTTTAAAGTGCAATAACCCTCTTAATCCCTCCTGATAATGATACTTAGCATTCACTTAGATCTCTAAGTTATACATCAGGTTTGTTTTACAGTTCCGCCTGTCACAGCTCAGACCTGAAGTCTGGCCATGCTCTGATGCAGCTGAAGCAGTGACCTAGAGTGAATGTAGTTCAGACATTATATCGGACTTCTTTCCCTGCAGCTCCAACACTGTCCTTGTCCTATACCAGCAAGCCTCCTTTAAATGTACTGAGGTCACCCAAACACTTCCAGTGCAATCATCATTCTCTGTCATTGTGGGTTAAGTGAGTGTAAGTCATACTTATGCTTATGACAATGTATGTGTGTGCAGAAGACAGAAACATTTTATGTGGAACTCAGTCTTGAGCCAGCATGTGTGTGTGTGTGTGTGTGTGTGTGTGTGTGTGTGTGTGTGTGTGTTGGTGAGTCTGGGGCAAATGTATGCTACAATCGACATCACTACATAGGCATCTATAGACCAGATTACCTAAGTCTCTGTGACCTAGCAAATAGGATGACAGTTCTACAGGCAAGCTTTCCTACCATTGTAGATTCACTTGGAGCTGGGAGTCCCGGGGTCAGGATGAGGTCATTATATGGCTGAGGGTCCCTCCTGGACAGCCTTTCCCTCTCCATCCTTGGAAGTTCCTTCCCCAGGCTCAGCCTCATCATCAGCTTCAGCCATGTCCTCTGGCATTGGCCACTCTCTAGTCTGCCACTCCAGCCTTTCTATGCGGTAAGCGATCTTCAGTGCACTGGACTCTAGCTCAGCTAGTAGGCGGGCAAACTTTGTCTGTAGATCATCCAGTTGCTGGTCCAGGCCTTTTAGCCGAGACTCTGTGGCCTCCTGGAGGGCGATCTCAGCCGCCTCAGCATTCACATCCAATTTATTCATTTTCAGCAGGATCTCACGGCCCTTCTCCTCCATGACGGCCTGGGCCTGTGGATACTCACTCAGCACCTCCCGCAGATCCTCCTTGCTGAGGCAGAACAGGTCGGAATAACCTAGGCTCTTGATGTTGGCTGTTCGTCGGTTTCCCGACATGTTCCCTGTGGTCCAAGGGCAGACAGATGTGGGGAGGGACAGGAAGGTGGTGTTTCACTCCTGAACCAGGATATAACCTCTATACGGGTGCTTCTGACCCTCTTTTTTCCTGATTTATTCTTTAACTTAGTAACCAAGCCCTGTGCTTATCGTTAACCTGCCTTGATAGATATTTAATGGGCTAGTTATATAACAACACAGCCGGTACAGTAACTTTCAGCTGGTTTGTTGGAACTTCCTCCAGTGCCCATGGAACACATCTGCTTTGCTTTCTAACATTCCACCCCACCCACTGACCTTGGTTCAGCTCCTCCTCAGGGAACAGTTAATCCATATCTATCCTGCTTCTTGCCTGAGTCCTGAAGCAACTCAGACAAAGGTCAGATCTTAATCTCTGTGCTCCAAAGTACCATCTTGTCCTAGGGTTCTGCCATTCCCATTCCTCTGCCCAGCATGTCCCTATCACTTCCCCATGGGGACTCACCTTTGATGTTGATGATACTGATCTCCCCAAAGTAGAGCCCTGCACCAAGCACAGCATACTGTGTGACCCCGTCGTCTGCCACCACAGCCAGCTGGCCCTCACGGATGATGTACATCTCGCGGCCAATGTCCCCTTTGCGGCATACATATTCTCCTGGTGAATAGGTCTGGGGCTGTAGTTTCAGCACCAGCTCTTCTAGCAGACTGGCTTCACAGTTCTGGAAGATCTGGACTCGGCTCAGGGTGGACAGGTGCACGGACACAGCAACCTCTGCCCGCAGCCGCTCAGGCAAGTGCTGCAAGATGGCTACCTCATTGGTCATCTTCTTGTTGATCTGCAGATGCTGGTACCTGGGAGAAAGGCAGTAAGTACCATGTCCACACCAGAATCCTGTGTGCCTGCTTCTACCCACTTCATCGGGACTCAGCTCAGCCACGAACCCAGCCACACTGAGTTCTCCTTAGAGCAATGGGAGTACCTGACAGTTTTCTGGTCCCCTTTCTTGATTACAGACATGATCTTTTCTACTTCTTTCAAGGTGAGGAGGCACCTACCACTCCTTCATCTCCTGTCAGGCCCTACCCCAGCTGCAGTGTCCGACAGCACTTCTATGAGCTGCCATAGTTAGCAAGCTCCCACCCTCTCAGATGGGCTTTGTGGTGGCTCCCTGACATTGAGGCATTTCCTTTTACTCAGAACATAGTTTGCACTATCATAATATAGCCAACCATCTGTTGTCCATCTCCTGTGTGGTTAGTTCCCTTGTCCACCCACTCCTTCCAGAGTCTCCCAAATCCTCCCGGGCACTGGCAGCTCCCATTCTCTGGTCTCTGTGTCACTCTTGTACATAATTTCCCTTCCTTGTCAGTCTTTTGCCCGCTCTTTTCCCCTAGTCTAGATTCCCTCAGACAAAGATACCTCTTTCTAAGTCTTGTCCAGCAGACCTACCAGCGAATGCTATCTTTCAAAAGCCTGGTATAGCCAATAGGTAATAAGAACAGAGTCACTGGGCTCAGGTCCCAAGGCATACCTCCCCTCGCTAGGTCTGCAACCAGCATTCTCACCAGTCAATAACTCTCCGCTCCAACCTCCGGTTGACATGCTGCAGCTTCATGTACTTCTTTACCAGAGCGTGGTCTGGGTAGAAGGCTGCATCTGCAGTGTTCATGTTGTAAATGACAGAGCTCATGCTACCCATGATGGTGGCAAAACCCATGACAGCCAGCAGGAAGTCACCCACCATGAAGAGGTACTCTTCCTCCCGGGCTGGCAGTGGCGTGTCACCCACCGTGGTCAGGATCAGAGTGGAGAAATAGAAGCTGTAGAGATACTGGCGCCGTAAGCGCTCAAAGCCAGGCTGTGCGGGATCTGGGTATACCCATGCATCCCGTCCGAAGCCCAGGTATCTAGACAGGGCAAAGTATAAGCAGCTGTTCCAGTGAATGACAACAAAGATGTAGAGCATCAGCTTGGCGATACGGAAGGCATTTGGATAAGCTGTGCGGGTCTCTGTGCGGTCAAAGGCCTCAAAAAGGCGGGGCACCCGGAGAAAGCGGTTTAGCCTGAGCATGGGAATGTGGGGGCCCAGCCGCACATATGCTGCATCTGTGGGAACCAGAGAAGCCAGGTCCAACAGGAAGCTCCAGGTACGTACATAGCGACTGGCGATCATGCCTTTGTCCACCACTAGGATGCCCTGTTCTAGGAATCCTAGGAAGAAAGGAGATGTGCTATGGTCAACGGTGGGCAGGTCGGGACAGACCAGGTATGTTAGACCAGGCATGAGGGCAAGAGGGAGGCAGGCGTAGTAACTAACTCTCTCCCCGGTTTCTGGGGTGAGCACTCTTACTTTGTTGAGCACAGACACACATGACAGTGCAGCCCTAGAGGTAGCTGCTTTCTTAACAGACTTTTAAAAGAAATGTGAGGAAAGGGTCATCCCCCAAAACTCACTGACCTGTGTGGAAGTGCACCCCGATGTCTAGTAGGTACAGCAGATCACTCGTGTAGTCCAGCACAAACCAGACCACCAGGTAACTATGCTGCAAGTCAGGAAAGCAGGCTCTGCAGGGCAGGGGCAGAAGGGATTGGCTTAAAGATACCAACTGCGTGTAAGGTGGCTGCTAGGACAGGTCCCTCAGTATCCTTCCTTGAGCCCTTCTAGGGAAGATGCCCCTCCTTTAGGCCCTGCTCTCCCTGCCAACCCTTCTCCTTGGCTTCACTCTTTAGTACAGCTTAAGGCCCTGTCATTTAGCACTCGTGACAAACCTGCATACAACGATGATGAGGTTATACATGACTGGGAAGACCATCGTGTTCAGCCACCAGTAGTAATAATCCCCAGATGGGTCTAGGACAGGCAGCCCCTTTCTGTAGGCAAGAAGAGACTCCTCTCATTTATCCACCAGACATTCAATGCTTGGGTTGTGACCAGGGCACCAAGAAGGTGGAGGCCCCAGGGACAGGTAATTAGATCCCTCACACAGGACCAGCCTTCTCACCTGGCTTTGGATGGGGCTGGGGGGCTGGACTCTGTTGTCTTCACTTTGCTGTCCTGGCTCATGGTTCTGTGGCTTGGTCCTAAGCCTGCAGACTATTCAGTGCTTCTCTGACTGTAGTGGCTTGAGAACGTGGGGGCTAGTGCCTGGCTTCCTGAAAGAGGCTGCCCTGGGGTTCCAGCTGCTTATTCTCTGTCTTTGAAGCTCTTAGCAACAGAACTAGGGCTAGCAGGTATGGAGTGGGTGGAGGCAATGTAGCTCCAGCATCCTGCCTTGTCTCCCAGTGCTGAGGTTGGTTTACACCTGCCCAACTAAACACCTTTAATGAGGTCCCTGGGGATGGTTGGAGGAGAATGCTTTGGAAGGAAGCTTTGCTCTCATTGCTGTTTTTTCACTTGCCCCTTAAGCCCATGGTATCAAGTTCAGGAGATCCAGCCAACCCTCACTGTAGGTTTGGATTCTGTTTTTACCTTATGTATGTTCACCATTTGGGCCTAGTTATTTATTTAACAATTACGTGCCAAGTGGCTCACTTGTGTCAGGTGGTAAACTAGTCTCCAGGGACTAAGGGCTGCCTCTCACAAGGTGTTTTCATTAGCTACATCTTTATCTACATACATATCACCTACTCTTCTGGGGTGTATGTGTGTCATCCTATGCCACTTTGCCCTCATTAATGCTGCGAAGAGACACCATGACCATGGCAACTCTTATAAATGAAAGCATTTAATTAGGACTTGCGTACAGTTTCAGAGGCTTGACCTATTTATCAGCATGGCAGGGAGCATGGCAGCAGGCATGGAAGGCATGGTGATGGAGAAGTAGCTGAGAGAGATACCCTCATTCATAGGCAGAAGGGGAGGGTGGCATGGGCTATTGAAACCTCAAAGCCCAGCCTTAGTGATACACATTCTTCAACAAGGCCATACTAATCTTTTAATCCTTTCAAATAGTCCCACTCCCTGGTGACTAAACATTCAAATATATAACCCTATGGGGGTCATTCTTATTCAAGCCACCACAGTCACTTTCAAACTACTGTATCTGTACCTTTTTTCATATTAACATTTTTATTAATTTATTTTTACTTTTCAATCCATGTTCCCCCTTCTCCCCTCCTCCCGCTCCCTACTTACTCCCACCCCACCTCTCATCTGCTCCATGGAGAGGGTAAGGCTTCCCCTAGGAAGTCTACTAAGTCTGTCCCATCATCTGGTTGAGGCAGAACCAAGGCACCTCCCCACCCCCACCCCCATGTGTCTAGGCTGAACAAGGTATCTCTCCATATAGAATGGGCTCCACTAAGTCAGTTTGTGCATTAGAGTTAGGTCTTGGACCCACTGCCAGTGGCCTCATATATTGTCCCAGTCACACCATTGTCACCTATATTAAGGAAGTCTAGCTTGGTCTTATTCAGGTTCCCTATTTGTCAGACCAGAGTCAGTGATCTCTCTATAGCTTGGGTCAGCTGATTCTGTAGGTTTCCCCATCATGGTCTTCACTCCTTTTTTCATATTGTTTCTCCTCCCTCACTTTGATTGTATTCCAGGAGCTTGGCCCAATGGTTAGTTGTGAATTTCTGCATCTGCTTTCATGTGTTTCTGGAAGAGGGTTCTAGCTTCTCTGTGTTTGTGGTCTGTAGGCTGAGTATCTTTTGCTTTATGCCTGGTATCTACTTATGTGTGAGTATGTACTATATTTGTTTTTCTGGGTCTGGATTATCTCACTCGTAATTTTTTTTTCAAGTTCTGCCAATTTGTCTGCAAATTTTAGGATATCATTTTTCTTACTGCTGAGTAGTACTCCATTGTGTAAATGTACATTTTTTAAAATCCATTCTTCACTTGAGGGGTATCTAGGTTGAGTCCAAGATCTCACTATTATGAATAATGCTGCTATGAACATAGCTGGGCAAATATCCTTGTGGTGTGAATGTGCCTCTTTTGGGTATATTCTCCAAAGTGGTATTGCAGGGTCTTGAGGTAGGTTGATCCCTAATTTTCTGAGAAAATCACCATACTGATTTCCACAGCGGTTGTACAAGTTTGCACTCCCACCAGCAATGGAGGAGTGTTCCCCTTACTCCACATCTTCTCCAGCATAAGCTGTCATTGGTGTTTTTGATCTTAGTCATTCTGATTGGTGTAAAATGGAGTCTCAGAGTGGTTTTGATTTGCATTTCCCTTATGACTAAGGATGTTGACCATTTCCTTAAATGTCTTTCCACCATTTGAGATTGTTGTGTTCAGTACTCTCAGTTTAGATCTGCACTCCATTTTAAAACTGGATTATTTGGTAGTTTGAGGTCTAGTTTCTAGAGTTCTTTGTATATTTTGGAGATCAGCCCAATGCCAGATGTGGGGTTGTTGAAGATATTTTCCCATTCCGCAGGGAGCCATTTTGTCTTGTTGACCATGTTCTTTGCTTTACAGAAGTTTCTCAGTTTCAGGAGGTCCCATTTACTAATTGTTGTTCTCGGTGTCTGTGCTACTGGTGCTCTATTTAGGAAGTGGTCTCTTGTGACTGTGTTCAAGTGTATTTCCCACTTTCTCTTCTATGAGGTTTAGTGTGGATGGATTTATATTGAGTTCTTTGATCAATTTGACTTGAGTTTTGTGCATGGTGATAGATATGGATCTATTTGCATTCTTGTACAACCAGTTATATCAGCACCATTTGTTGAATATGCTTTCTTTTTTGCATTTATACTTTTAGCTTCTTTGTCAAAAATTAGGTGTTCATAGGTGCGTGGCTTGATATCAGGGTCTTTGATTTGATTGGTCCACCTGTCTGTTTTTATACCAATACAAACTGTTTTCATTACTCTATAGTAGAGTTTGAAGTCAGGGATGGTGTGTATCTGTGCCTTTATCTTCCTTTATCTACTCTTTCTCTTCAACACCCATTTCTGTCCTTTCAGCAAAAAGCATGGAACCAATATTTTCTATTATGTAACATGGCAGGTTTGAAAAAAATGATCACAAATTCTTCGATGTTTGTAACTTGGAACTGTCAACTGATAAGAGTATAGAAAGACTGATGTTGTGTGATATTTGAGCCTAGACCATCAACAACTATATTGCTGCTTTCTGGGTTTCTTAGGATGCACGTTGTGTGATAACTCCCTCTTAGGATCCTTTTCTTTCTGAGAAACTCTGGAAGTCTGAGCTGAGTTCATCCTTTCAGTTGTCCCAGCCCAGACATAGCACATATGACTGAAGAAGCCTTTAGATCAGCAGTTCTCAACCTGTGAGTCAAGACCCCTTTGAAGGTCATGTATCAGATATCCTGAATATCAGATTATATTACGATTCATTAGAGTAGCAAAACTCATAACTGGAGGTAATCCTTTAGGCTGAAATTTACATTTTTCCTTTTTGAATACTTTTTACTTTGAACCAATTTTAGGCTTGCAGAGAAGTCACAAAAATAAAGTTCCTCTGTCATCCATCACTTTATGTAACTATAGAATAATGATTACAATCAAGTAACACAGATATAATACTTCCAACAGACTTTGTTGGAAACTATTTCTCTATCTTAGTGTTTCTCACTCTTGTTTCAGCCAACATCTCTTTCGGTAAGCCATCTCTCAGCTCCTTCATCCTCTAAGCGCAGAAATCATGTTAAGTGCTGATTTTACATCCCTAATACTACGTTTTAACTGTTTGGGGCCGGTTCTAATAGACAAGGAATCCAGGCTGTCATGTAGGAACTTATTTCGCGTTCTACCGGAACATGGAAGCTTTGGGGGAGCCAGGAAGAGGCGGTCCTCGCGGGTAGGAAGGTAGAATATAAGATGCCTGTACAAGTAAATCTGACGAAAATAAACTACCTTCATGGCAGTCAGCCTAGTCTAGGATCACTTCTCCACAAGCCCTGCCCACAGAGCTGGCCCTTGGCATAGCCTTCAGAGGAAGCCCCGCCCACTTGACGCTAAAGCACCGCCCAGGACCTGTGGGCCCGCCCCCCCACCCTCGTCTGGATCTTCAGCCGGATTCCTTCCCAGGCCAGGTTGTTCTGACCTCAGAGCCTCTCCCTCCCTAGGAGCAGCCTTCTCCCTTCTATTTCGAATTTTTCTCTCTAGGCCCCGCCCCTGCCCGCAGGTCTCCGCCTCTTCTCAGGTCGGCCCCTATGAAACGCCGGAATTCTCAGAAGGGCGGAGTCTGGAGCGGGAAGGGGCGGGGCATGGGGGGTGTGGAAGCGCTCCTTCCTTGGAATGCGGGCTGCGACCCCGCCCCTGCGCTCGGCCGTTGCCTGGAAACGAGCGTCGACGCTCTAGCTGGGGCCTGACCGGGCCAATGAGCTGGCACGCCGCTGCCCAGCCGTGCGTCGCTGGGCGGTTGCGTGAGGTGCGCGGGGGCGCGGGCTGCGTGTGGCGCGGGGCGGGGCGCGGCTGGTGCGCCTGAGGAGCGATGGCGGCGGCCTGAACTCACCTAGCCCGGCCGCCGACAGGCCCGGGCAGGGCGGCGTGGTGCAAGCGAAAGCGACGCGTAGGCCGCGGCGCGCGCAGAGGCGCAAGGTGCCGAGGGGATTTGGGATGACGGCACCAGCTTTGGGAATTGCTGGCGTGAGAGGACAGGATGAGGGGCTGGCAGGTGGTGAGGGGCTGCTAGCGTCTGAGGTAGGGGGGCAGGGGGACAGCCTGGGTGCTGTGGACCAGGAAGAAGCCGGGTAGAGGAGATCCTGGGATGCTTTCTAAAAGGCCAAGTTGAAGGAACTCATTAACACCGTTTGCAAAGGGTGTGGGTTCGCTGAGCTTGGAAAGGTGAGGAACGTCCTGGGACAAGAGTTGAAGGGGGTAAGGCCTGTGGAGGATGAGGAGCATTAAAGGCCAAGGCGGGAATTTGCGGCGGATGGCTGTGCCTTGATGAAGGAGTTGAAGGCAGAGCAAAGGAGGAAAGAGGGGCTGAAGGTTGTGAGACTTGGATAGGAGATGAGGTTGGTTGCCGGGCCTCCGTGGATGACCTGTCCTGTCCAGTGCAGTCCAGAGATAGCAATAGTTTTAGAGCAAGCAAGGTGCATGTATTGTGCACTTGGCTGCCCTGCACCCATGAATATTTTAGAAAGGAAGAAAAAAAAAAGCAAAACAACAACAAACCCAGCATCATGAGAAATAATAACTATGATAATGTCATCCACAGAATAATAACTGAACCGCAGTTTCCTCAGGTTCCGCTTTTGTAAGGCAGACTTAAGATGAGATCCACATGAAGATTTTTTGCGAGAGGTGGAGAGGTAGAACTGCTTGTAGTTTTCTCTCTGCCTG